TAAAGAGCCTGCTGCTGCTGCTGCCGTTGCTGCTTTGGCGGCCAGAACTGGAGAGAAAATGAGATCAGTGTCCTAAAGCCTCCAGTGATCAGAGTGATAGGACGTCATCGCGTGTAGGAAGCAAAATGTTCGAGGGAAAGTTGAAAGGTTAGGGATTTCCGTTTTTTCTTTGCAGGCCTTTTAAAAATCACAATAAAAAGAAATATCCCTTTGAATCCAAGATATTTTTTAAAATGGAATTGGTAAAATATAAATACCTTCCATTATAATATACATTTAATAAGAGCATGACCAAGTGATTCCTTTTCTATGCCAGATATCCCACCCTAAACTTACAATATTCGGTAGTTTTGTTCTTTTCTGTCCTTATTTATTTATTTTACCTACTAACCTCGCTTACTGAAAACTGCTTTGCAGTTAAGACATTTCAGTGACTGAGCTGAAAGAATAGCATTCAGGGTCCATGATGTAGTTTAAGCCTCAAGAAAAGACAGGAAGACAAGTAAGGACAACAAAAGTTTATGGGTAAGAATACAAAGCAGGTGCCGGAGATATGATCTCAGGGGGGCTTTCATTTATAATAGACTCTGTATTCACAATATAACGAGAAAAAGGTTAAATACAGTAAACATGATAGCCAGTTCTGGAAAGAAATATAAAGCAGTTTGACGGAAAGGGAGAAAGTGACTCAAGAACTCCACCAAGGGACAAACAGAGGAAATGACACCCTGACATCTCCAAATCCGTTGACCTTTCATCTTTTTAAGAAGGATCTTCTCTATACTCTTACATATGTATAGACATATGTCCGAGGCCTTTTTGACTAATCGTTTCTCTAACTACTTTTGGCAAATTGGAAACTTCAGTCTTCCTTCTGTAAATAATTACGAGAAATGATTATACTTTAAACACGTATTATTTCAAATAGTCGTTGTAACTATACATACCTATTGTCTTATAGCAAGTTTGATTATGATCTTTGAGACTGTAAGAAACTTTTAGCATATTTTGTAGGCTTCAGTCCAAGCTCGTAGTCTTAAAATGTGTAGTGGACATAAATAGCTAAATTATTCATTGCAATAACAGTCTTTTCGATGGACATTAAAACTCAGCAGTTTAACTTAGGAAACCACAGATTTCCTTTTAAGCGGGTAATAACTGCTTGCATCAGTGGTTATTTAATTGGTCTTTAGTCAAGAAATAGAATCAGTTGCGCTGTTTAAATCATGAAATTTTATACAAAGCTGTATATTATATCAAGAAAAGAACAAAAGTTAGAAATTAAACTGATTCTTACTACCTACCTATTTAATAACTATAAAATATTTGGACAAGGACAGAATAAAACCTGTTTACAAAAAAATAAATTCTTGAAAATAAATTTTAAGTGTTAATATTTCCACAAGGACAGAATAAAACCTGTTTACAAAAAAATAAATTCTTGAAAATAAATTTTAAGTGTTTATCTAAATATTCACTCATAGGCTGATTTTCAGATTTCAGTATAGCATTTTAGCTTTTAAAATAACGTGATAGAA